TTTTTTTTTTTTTTTTAAATCACAGACGCGATTATCAGCAAACCATACACCTTTACAAGATATTTTTCAAGTTCCACTCTAAGGGAATTTTACCTCTTTGATTTCTACAAGAAATGTATGTTTTTTTCTGCACAGCTTTATAAAAAAAAAAAAATTCTGTTACACTTTTGGAGTTTGTCTAATATGATATGCAGACATTGCATGTGTTAATATATCTTTCTGTTATTTAAATACTGGTGGTGTGGTGCTGTAGGGTCAGCACTGGACTGCGAACCACAAGGTCAGCAGTTCAAAGTCATCGGTTGCACCTCAGAAACCCTATGCAGGGTTGCTATGAGTCGGAACCTGACTCAACAGCACCTAGCCAAAACAACAATGATATTTAAACATGGATGTTAATTAAGTTTGTCCTTTTTTAAAAAGCCCTTCATGTATTGTATTCTCAATGAATACATATAGACATAGTAACTATTGTGAGACTAGTACAGGACCGGGAGGGTTTCCTTCTGTCAAGTATATGGAGTCACTGTGATTCAGAAACACTTCAATGGCACTAACAATGACACTGTTTTCCCCCCACTTTTTCTTTTAACTCTGCTTATGGTGTCTTTTGTCATATGAAGTTGTGTGTATATGTGATTACATTTGTTGCCTTTTCCCTTTATTATGTTCAGATTTAAATATACTTAGAAAGTTTTTTCTACAATCAGTTAGAAGGAAATAACTCATGATTTTCCCCCCGCCCCTCCAAATATACGTTGGTTATTTTTCACATTTTCACTTCTAGCACATTTGGAATTTATACCGGCTAATAAAGCATGCAACACAGCACTGGCTGGAGAGCCATTAGGTGGATTCCATGTGTTGTTTCATAGCGCACATTTTTAGTTTTAATGCCTGTGAACATTTCATCATATCAGTAAAATTTCTCTTGTCTCAACTGTTACAAATAAAAACCTTTTGTTCATTGAATAAAGATGTCATTTTTCATGATTAGTAAATAACAGCTTTAAGGGCAGAATGAGTCACTACTATTGACTTAAAAAAATAGTTAAGCCTCCAGTTGAGAACTCTCTGGGTATTAAAATAGTAAATCATCAGCTATATAATAGTGCTTTTACATTTAAACAAACAAATTAGACAGAGACATCTATGTTTGTAGAGAATCATTCTGTACTCAATTGTATTGTTTTTAGCAGACTGGCACTGACAGTTGCTTATGACAATATGTCCATTTTCTTCTTTCAAGTTAAAAAAATTCACCACCTCAAATAGACATAAAACCAGAATCTAAATAAAGACTCACCACTACTGGCAGCATCGTTGAGGTTTAGCAGTCCCCCTCCTAGCCCTCTGTAACTATGGTAACTGTAGGTCCCGTTTCCATTGATGTACAACACCTCCTGTGAACCTGATACAGCTGATGTTGAATAAGTGGCCTGGGCTGCCTCTGGCTTACACTGTTTGTCAGCTGGAGCAGATTCATCCTGCAATGACACACAGCATTCCCATGTCAAATCACCATGACTCTTTACCTTGAAAAGAGCTACCTTACTGTTGTCTCCATTTCTGGATTGGATAAGAAAAGAAATACATAGTTAACACTGACTAAGCAACAGGCCCATTTTCAATAACTTTGCTGAAAACTAAAAATGGAAAACAATGTAGCAAAGTGGAACAGATTGGAGATGGAGCAATTTTCAATTGCCAGCTGAATTTAAAACTTCATGAAGAGAAGTTACAACTCAAATCAAACATTTGCTAAAGTTTGAACTTTTTAAAACAATTTGTATGATGAATTAATTACATTCCTTCCATATCTTTTATCCCAATAAGACAAACAAGCAAAAATTTAATAGTCAATTCTGACTTTTAGTGATGCTGTAGGAAGGAGCTCTGGTAGCGTAGTGGTTACGAATCGGGCTGCGAACCACAAGGTCCGCAGTTCGAAACTACCAGCTGCTCTGCGGGAGAAAGATGAGGTGATCTGCTCCCGTAAAGATTTACAGCCTCGGAAACCCTGTTCAGGGTCGCTATGGGTCGAAACCGACTCGACGGCACTTAACAACAACAACAATAGGACAGAGAAGAGCTGCTCCATTTCATTTTCAAGGTTGTCAGTCTTTACAGAAACAGACAGCCTCCCCTTTCTCATGGAGGGACTGGTGACTTTGTCATCAACTTTGATGTTTGCAATCCAACTCTTAACCCATTGTTGTTGCTGTTAAGTGCCGTTGAGTCGATTCGGACCCATACTGACCCTGTATAGGGTTTCCAAGGAGAAGCTGGTGAGCTTGAACCACTGACCTTGCAGTTCAAATGACTTTGCAGTCTGACGCATTAGCCCACAGTGCCACACCAGGACTTTGATTACACCACCACAATAAAAAGACATGAGAACCATGAGATCTCACTTTTGACTATGATACACAATTTACTGGGAGACAATCTGAGGTGATCAGCATCATAGGGTATTTTTAGTAAATCTGCATATACTGGACCTTCATAGTTCAAGCCTGTCTTACTCAAAAGTCAATTGCATAGCTGTCTATGAAAGAAGACACTGCAACTTTATCAATTTTATGCCTGATATTAAAGATTTTCCTATAGATTTCTCTTAGACAAACACTGCATGTGCTTTCTTTTGTATTTCTGATGACAGACCATAAAGAAGCTTGAATGAGCTAAGTATTCAGGATGATGTTCCTGGAAACCCTTTACTGCCGGTAGTACGTGCCATAAATAAGTCTGAAGGAAATATTCATATAAATTACAGTCTTATTGTGAACCAATATTACTGATAAAGCAATCTTTGTGGTACACAAACATAATGGTTATCAGAATGTTATTAACTTTTAAATAGTATTTTGCAATGGAAATGTGAATAGAAATAGGCCAGATAAAAGATGATTCCACCTCATATGGAGTCCAGGTATGGCACTGTGGGATAAGCACTGGACTGCAAGTTCGGTTTGAACTGAAGGGTCAGAAGTTCAAACTCACCAGCTGCTCCTTGGAAACCATATACAGTTGCTATGAACTGGAACCGACTTGAACAGCACTTAACAACTAGAACAGTGTAGTTGTAGTGAGTAGGGCTGCTAACCTCAAGGTCAGCAGTTGGAAACTACCAGCTGTTCTGCAGGAGAAAGACGAGGCTTTCTGCTCCTGTAAAGATTTATAGCCTTGGAAACCCTGTCACTATGAGTCAGAACCGACTCCATGGGATATCGACTCCACGGCATACCACCAACACCAGGGTTGCACAACAATTACTGTAATTACTGTCAATAAATTATACACCTGTAAAAAGTTGAATTGACAAAAACTGTGATCGACATATTTACAACAATAACAAAAGCAAACAAAAAACGGTAGCTGCTGAGGCTGCATATGTACAATTCCAAACCTCGAGGGATTTAGTTTGGCTCGTTGGTTTGGAGATTTAGAGACATGGTTTCATTGGATACCCCAGCTAACTGATCTAATAACAGGTTTAGTGCTTCTGTTCTTCTTCTAGTTCATTGTGTAATGACGAGGGCCTTAAAAGCTTGCAAGTGGCTATCCAAGGGGCAACAAGTCTTTCCTATTCACTTGGGGCAACAGAGGAAGAAGAAGAGTCAGGAATAGGAAGAGGATGGAGAATATATGGCTAACTGCCTCTGTGAACAACTGCCTCCTTTGTCATGAGACCAGAAGAACCAGCTTGTGCCTGTCTATCATTACCAAGCATTTGGATAAAAGATTCCAGAGAAAAATCCTGATCAATAGGGAAAATATGCAGAACAGAATTCCAAATTATTATGGACGTTCTGATGCCATGCAAGGTAGATGAATCTCTGAAGCTAGTGCTCTGAGATAATCTTTAAACCCAGCAATATCCCCTGAACTCATCTTAAAACCAAACAATGTTGATGGTGGTGGTTATGTGTTATTGAATTGATTTTGAATCATAGCAACCCTGTATAGGGTTTCTGAGGCTGTAAATCTTTATGGCAGCAGAAAACCTCATCTCTCTTACTCAAAGCAGCTGAAAGATTCAAACTGATGACCTTGTGGTTAGCAGCCCAACTCATAAACCATAGTAGTTTAACTAAATAGTAAAAAAAGAGTTGGTCCTGAGTATTTTTTTTTTTAATTTAAAGAACTATCTAACTGGTATCAAATTGAAAACAGTAAATCAAAAGATTGAATAGCAACTTCAGAGGGCAGTTAAGTTTATATTAATGAGGGAGGAGCAACTCAGAAAAGGAGGATGACCAAGGTTGAACAACCATTAGATCATGCAATCAATGTCATGGCATGGTATATGTAGAAACTGTTGAACTGGTATATGCTGTTACACATATTCTCAAAACAACAATAAAGTAAAAATTAGAAAAAAGAAGAGAGAAAGGAATACCAACACATTGATGGATAAACCTCCAATGTTCACATGAATTAAACTTGCCCACGCATACAACTCCTATTTCTTTGAAGTAGAGGATTTCAAATTGCTCTCCATGGAAGCCAAAGGCTTCTGGGAAATTTTCAGTCTTCCTGTATGGCAAGAGCACCAGAGATATGCTGTAGTGCTGCGTCCTTCCTCTTTAACCTAACAGTTCACCTTTGCTTTCCTTTATCCTCAGAAAGTGACTACATCTAAGCATTCTGAAAACCACTGGGCTGTGAAGTATTCATTCTGTAAAGGCATGTAGCAATTTAAATGGAAAGAAGGCAAGTGTTGCATACTTCAAAGCAATTTTTAGGTTCTTGTCAGAGTTAGCCTCAAAGAGTTTCCCCAGTAGTGTATTTAACCTCCCATTGTTTAAATAGAAAACAACTTGAGCAACATGAAAAACTTGAGTTTCTAATTTTGGAAAATTGGTAGCTTTTTGGAAACACCATGCCTCATTTCCTGTGTTTGGAAAATGAGAAGATACATGCACAGAAATTTTCTTATCGACAAGTAAAAAGGGAGAAGGTATTGTCTCCATAATAGTTCTCTATGATTCTTTGTATGGTGGAAATAATCAGTATTATTAAGGATGTTATTTTTTAAATTTGCCTTAGTCTTTCATTATTAACTGTTATTCTAGCAATAGTAACAGCATTTAGCAGGCAGATAATTAATTCCATTAATAATCAAAACAGGCCTCCTAGGGATTCATTTGTATTCAAACACAGACTTGCATTATTAATGTTTCTGAAAGTCCACTATATGCTGTAAAAACATCATATAAAAATCTCAATAATACCAGATTTTCAGTCTATTTTGGATAGAAACTTAATATATTTTAATTTTTCTTTCTATCTTGAAACATTTTTATTATTGGTTTCAAAGAAGGATAGTGTTTAGTGACATAAAAACTAAATACACCTCAAAGTCACATTGTATCGTTGTAAGCAACATATAATAATCTTTAGTTTCAAAACCGTCAAAGCTGACAGCTTACACCTGTTTTGGTTTTTTTTTCAATAAAGTAATATGTTATTAGGCTATAAGGAATCATATTTAGGCACTGAAATAAATTTTAATCACCAAAAAGAGCAATAACTTTTATCACAGATTTAATGAGACATGTTTCAAAATATACATATTTTTAAATTTGGCAAACATACGATAGCATCAATTATTGAATGGCCTTCAATGATGCATTAGGTAAATCAATGAATTGTTTTTATCTCAAATTCCTTTGTTTAAAAATAAAGAAAACATTCAGAAAATACATGGTTTCTATAATTAGGCTCTGATCAAATTAATAAATATATCCTTGCTGTCAGAAAACATTCATTTCTTATTTATGAGAAGGTGGGAAGTTCTTACATATACAAGGAAGCCTGGGAATGCATGGAAGAATTTTCAATGCCCACCAGTTTAACTCTTGAGGCACACAGGAACTGGCTGCTTGGTACATTCATGATAGAATCTGGACAGAGGTGAATTTGTCTGTAACTGGCCCACTCAGACTGAATTCCTAGCTTACCACAGATTCCTTTACTTGTGTACCTTTAAAAGACTTGTTTTTTCAATGAAATTTAATTGACTCCTCTTAACTTTTGGGGAATAGACTTTTTGAAAATGTCTTTATCATAGCTTTCATTAGTTTTACTTTCCCCAAGACTTTATATTATGGAATCATTATCCAAGGGTAGGTTAAAAAAAAAATGCTACTAGGGTTCCATTTCATACATGCATGGGTTCATCCCAAACAGAATGTTTTAAACATGTCTGTGTGTCTTGGTGTGGCACCATAGGATAAACACTGGACTGCTAACCACAAGGTTGGTGATTCAAGCCCACCTGCTGCTCCTAGCAAACCCTATATAGTGTCGCTTTGTGTCAGAACTGACTCAACTGCACTTAACAACTGTCATCAGTAGATGACTGCAGACAAGTTCTCTCAATAATACACCCTGGGGTGCCTTCAAAAGAAGGTCCAAGCAGAACAAGGTTTCTGAGGGGCTATGCTGGACCAGTTAAATTCAAGGCAGAGCATTGTTAAAA